CGCAGCGGCGGGATCACACAGATCCTGTGAGCCGCCGCGCACTTGCTCCCCGGCACGATCAGATGCCAGGGAGACCGGGGAGAAAGCCACGACACAGAGAGGGAGGCTGCCGAACTGCGCATGTGTGAGCATGCACAGTTCGGCCAGGAGCCTCGGATGCGCCGGCAGAAAGATGCGCCAGTGATCCCACGGCCGCGCTTGCCGCTGCCTTTCTGGTAAGTCCACCTCTAGGGGTGGTTCTTTTTTGCAGTGGGTTTTCGGCCTGAAGGGCCGGATCAGGTACGGGTGCGCGCCGCTTCCCAGATGTTGTGGTGAGATTGCGCCTGTTTGCTGCGCCCCCAATCCGTCCCTCTCCCGGCCCAAACCCTTACGTGTGACTGGGGCCATAGTTTCTCATTATATCTGAATTGTACCATTTGATGCTTATGCCTCCAAATTTAGAAAATCCAGTAGTGAAGTCAAAAATTTACCCAGCCGAAATTCCTTATGGCCAATCCTAATGATCAGATCTAAACTTTCAAAGCCTCCAGATAAACTGTTACAACATAACCTGGCCTATTATCAAACCTACCAATTTTCACAAGTCTATTTTCTATCGTGTCACAATCCCTACTAATACATTTTAAAGAGAAAAATAAGAAAAGTAGAGACTTACTCCAGGAATTGTTTAAATTCAGATGGTTCCACGTTCTCCAGATTAAGAGCTTCACAGGTGTTCACATTAGTTAACACTCCCCCAGCGACATGTGAAAAAAAGTCTGGAACTCTCACTGAAAGCAGTGCCTGGTGTGCTTTGAATAGAGTATTTCCAACACAGAAAGTGATGTCAGTTTGGATTTCCTCTTTAAGAAGCCTGTTAACAGAACAGAAATAGTCATGGAAGAGCAAAAGATGGGTTAAGAAGCAACATACAGGATGTACCATATCCGAGTGATTTAATACATCTTCATAGTGAAAATTAAACACTAGCAAAATTAGTGATCTGAGTGAAACATGCCCTTGATTGATCAGAATACAGGCTTTCAGGGTCTTGGACACAGCATCAAAGAATGTTTTCACAATCTATCTGTCCCTATATATCATGCAGTGTCACGATTTCCTGGTACTGCTATATCACCATATTTATTTTGCTTCTGGGAAATATCTAAGGAATGCCTTTTAAAGATTTTTGGGAGTAACAGTACACCTGTGTTCAAAAATAAATTTCAGACCTCACTATTATGTCTTCAGAAATTAATACTCTGGAGGACATGTTAGAGGGATGCCAACCTCTAGCTGGGGCCCAGGGTTCTCCTGGAATTACTAAACTCCAGACTGCAGAGATAAGAACATAAGAACATAAGAGATGCCAATGCTGGATCAGGCCAAAGGCCCATCCAGTCCAAAACTCTGTATCACACAGTGGCCAGAAATACCAGTGCTATCAGGAGGTCCACCAGTGGGGCCAGGACATTAGGAGCCCTCCCATTGTTGACCCCCCCAAGCACCAAGAAGACAGAGCATCACTTCCCCCAGAGTCCCTATCTATACCTTGTGGCTAATAGCCACTGATGGACCTCTGCTTCATATGCTTATCTAATTCCCTTTTGAAGCCGTCCATGCTTGTAGCCGCCACCACTTCCTGTGGCAGTGAATTCCAAGTGTTAATCACTCTTTGGGTGAAGAAGTACTTCCTTTTATCCGTTCCCCTGGCGAAAATGGCAGTTTCAGAAGGTGGGCTCTATGGCAGGGGTCCCCACTGTGCTGCCCACAGGTGCCATTGTGCTCACCAACACCTTTCCTGGTGCCTGCCAAGTGTTTTTAGAAGGTGGATGGGGCCAGGTGGGGATACTACTAGGCAGGACTTCTGATTGCGCACTGGAGATATTACTAGCTGTGCAAATTAACACAACATTGTCTTGGCAGCACAGTGCTACTGCAGCCTCTTTCACTCCTTTCCCACCTGTGTATTATTACCATTACTCCTTTTGTCTCCTGCAACTGGGCTTCCTCTGTATGTGTGTGGGGCTCTGCCTCCTGTGGTGGCCATTTTGTAGTTGCAACCACCACCCTGCATCAGAACTCCAAGGGTTTCTGCAGGCTCAAAAAGGCTGGGGATCCCTGCTTTATAGCATCACATACCCCTTGAGCTCCCTCCCCAAACTCTGTCCTCCTCAGGCTCTGCCCCCAAACCTCCAGTTTTCCTACTTGAAGTTGGCAAATTCTGATTCTAGTACACATGCACACAAGGGCATGGACATTAAGGCATTACCTATTGCTCACCTTGCTTCTTCACAAGTTCATTTTGAATTGTTGTTGTTGCTTTCTATCACATTTTAATCCCACCCCTCTTCCAAACCTTAGGACAGTATACATGATTTTTCTCTATCCCTCACTCTCTCTTTTTTAAGTCTATAACTAAACAAATTCTTTCTTTGTAGTTTAAAAAAAATGTTAGTGCAGTGCTCCCCTTTCACTCCCTAGCCTATAGATGTTGCTATCTGGGCCTAAGTTGTGGCTGGGGGGAAAATACATAACCAAATCAATTATGAGATTCACCACTTTCATCTTCATACCATCTCCTCCCTTCAGTTATTTGTCTCTTTAGCTCTTGAGGAACGTTGTGGGTGAAACAGGGTGTTGGTTTTTGAGTATTTATGCTGGGTTCCTTTGTAAAAATTAAAATGACCATATGACCAACAAACAAGATATAAATGTAGTAAATAAATGATATGCTTTATGCAGGGCTACCTTAGCAAATGACTGGATTATTTGGCTATCCAGAATAGCACCATGGTGCTAGCTAGTTATGCACTACTTCAGTGCTTAAAGGCCCAAGTGGTCTAGATGCCAGGTGCCTAGGGTTCACTTCTCGCCCTATGAACCTTTGTGCTTAGTTCTAGTAAGGTTCCAAATGCCTTTTACATCAACACTGGCAAACACGCCCAGCCTTCCACCTCCGCTCCACCTGCTCTTACCTGCTCACATCCTGACTCAGTTGCTCAGCCATCCTCTCCTTCAGCCTCCGCCTCTCCAAGGCACCCCTGTCTCCGCCTCTCCCTCCTCCTTCCCGGGTCCCACCCGGCCCTCTAGAGCCGGCGTCGCCCCCACAGCGCGCCATGTAGCAACAGCCACCCACTCGGGGCGAGGCAAGAGCACGCCCAGCTCTTTTGGGGACCAATACTCGGAGCAACGTCTTACAGCGTCCAAACCGCCTGTTGTTGGTATTCACGAAGCGTATTTCCGCAAGCACTGCCCGCTCCCGCGCAAGACAGCCCCTAGCCTCTGTGTTTACCGCGCGTAACCTAAGCAGGGAATCTAGCAAAACGGCTCTCAAACATGAGCTTTTTCCGTGCCGGAAACCTGTGCTCCTTAGGCGGTGCCGAAAAAATGCCCACCCCCTTCCTTCTCCTCATTGGGTTGCAGAAAGGTTTAGACCAATTGATGCTTGCTTTCTCTTCCGTAGCCGCTAAGTCCCGCCTCCATCTTGTTTACTTTCCGTCCTGTACACATGGTGATTTAGGATAGCGGTTTCTCCCAGGTTTGGGAGAGAGAGTGGAGGGGGTTTGGCTATAGCCGGGGCCAAATGAAGCTCGAGTCCTCAGGGGGAACAGAGTGTGCAAACAAACACGCATATAGCAGAGGGCATAGAAGCGATCGTGCATAGTCATATACTTTACCTACGGTGCAGTAATATTTTGATACTTGCTGTTTTTTACCTCTGGTTTTGGTGATGGTTTTATTGGGGGCTCTGTGTGCTTGTGTTTTAATGCTGTAGAATTCTGCTGCTTGTATCATAAATGTTTTTGTTACTCCGGTGTTTTATAAGTTTTAAAATTTGGGGTTTTCCCCCTTTTGTAGCTGCCTTGAAGGGTTTTGAGATGAAACTTAAAAAAACAACAACCCAGCTCTGGTATTTAAAAAGGAGATCCATGGAAGCTTGCTGCCTGTTCACACAAACTCAGCTAGCCTATCTCATAGGTTTGTTATGAGCATAAACTTATTAGGAGAATGATGTAAGACGCTTTGGGTCCCCATTGGGGAGTCAGGCAGGGTACAAATGAAGGAAATTTGTATGGAGGAAATAAATACATAAATAAATTAATTCCTGATGATTGGCTCCAGTCTAACCAGCAACAAGTAGAATTCAACAAACTGGAAAATTAAATTTTGTAACCTTAGAGAACTGTCCTGTTGTGCACAGTCTGTGAATTTAAATATGTTAAGCAATCAGGTTTGGCTGCAACACTATGCAGTGTGCAGAATCCACAGGACTGGATGTTATCCCAGACATACAAATGCACACAACCAGCTAGGTTAGACAATGTTTCAGTGGCAAAATAGTACAATAACAGAATGGAAAGAAAGAATGTGGTGGGATTCTGTATGCATAGGACAAGGGCTATGATCTTGAAGAAAGGACAGTTATGGAGAACATGTCTTGTTACTTGGGATATACCTCACAAACTCTCGTGTCCAGACATTTGAGACAATTAAAAGGAAATGGAGAATCTTAAGAAGCTGCCAAGCAGGAGTTCACCCAGCATGATTTATTGTGGCCAGGATAATTAATGTCCATAGTAACAGCAATTGTGTGTTTCATATATGAATCCTTGTTTCATTCAGGTTTTAATAGAGCAAATGGAAATATATTCACCAAGCCATACTGTAGTTACTCCAATTGATTTAAGTTTTCTGAGACAAAGATCTTCCATTGCCCCTGATATACCTCTTGGTGAGCTACTTGTGTCAAGGAGATCTAGAGTGATCTATGCATAAGGAACTGCTGCTCTCTGTCCTGAGCCCCTGTTTCATGTACTATTCAATTGCTGCATACATGTGGCTGCTCTCAACTAATCAATACTTTATTATGCTGAATTTAGGACTGCTAATCTGTAGACAGCGTGGTATTAACCCATGGCCTGGCCCCTAGGCTTTCAGGTATTTCGGGGCTCCTTGGGCACTTCAGTCTTTGATCCCACTACAGCTGACAGCCTGACCCTGGTACGGTAGGTACTAGACTGCAGTACATAGCCCTATATCCATTTTGAGGGTCTCCTGGAGGATTCTATTCACAATTTTTAATATCTTTTTATTGTATTCTTCAGAAAGCCACAAGGTATAGATAGGGACTCTGGGGCAAATGATGCTCAGTCTTCTTGGTGCTTGTGGGGGTCAACAGTGGGAGGGCTTCTAATGTCCTTGCCCCACTGGTGGACCTCCTGATGGCACCTGGTATTTTTGGCCACTGTGTGACAGTGTTGAACTGGATGGGCCTTTGGCCTGATCCAACATTGGCATCTCTTATGTTCTTATGTTCTTAAAGCACGTTTTGGGGGTATAATTGTTCAATACTGTAATGTTTTGAAGTGAATAAAATTTTATTATTTATTGAAATATATAATTTATGGATAACTGTTTTAATATAGGAGACAATTTGTTTCACTGCAATAAGGAAGCAGTTAATTATGTTATTAATAGAGGTTATATATTACAGGCTTCTCTATGAAGAAAAAATAACAGTGTCTCAGCAAAAATAAAAATAAAAATGAATGGGCCCCTAGTCCCTGCAGGGCCCCTAGGCTTCCATCTAGTCAGCCTTGTGGACAATATAGCCCTATCTCCTGGCAAGGCGTGGAGTTTTCCCAGAATTACAACTGATCTCCAGACTACAGAGATCCATTGCCCTGGATGAAATGGCAGCTTTGGAGGGTGGAGAAGCTGAAGTCCAAGAGTGGTAGATGCTCTAGGCTTTTCATGTATCCTATGATATACCATAGAGACTCTATGACAGTGTTTCCCAGCTTGTGTGTCCAACCCCAAAATGGGTTGCAAAACCTGTGAAAATGGGCCCCAAGCCTTTGCAGTTTCACCAGTTTGTGCATGGTATGTTTTCCTTAGTGGGTCACCATATCAAGTAAATTTGGACTTGTGGGTCACCATATCATTTTTTGGGGGAACTGCTGCTCTATCATATATCATCTGTGGCAGAGGGACTGGCTGGGCCCAGTTGATGGGGGCATCACTGATAGCTTTCAAGAAGAGGCTGGATGAATATTTGTCAGAGATGCTTTAGGCTGGTCCTGCATTGGGCAGGGGGTTGGAATAGATGGTCTGTATGGCCTCTTCCAACTCTATGATTCTATATAAAGAATGATGGCAGCCCCCAGGAAGAGCATCAAGGGTGACAGCCAGATAGGGAGCTGGGTTGTGGGCGGTTTGCCCAAGAGTGGGGGCTAGATGGGATCTTCCCATGGACAGGGTATGTCCTGATACATACTCAGTGAACAGGAGTTGGCTGATGGAATCAGTGGCATTGGGTTTGAGGGAACTAATTGAATGCAGGCAGTTCCCAGAACGAGGACAGCTGGGCTGAGTTGAATATTAGGTCACACCTTAAAAGTTGGAGTGGCCAGCAGAGTTGTCATGGGCACATACTGTGTAACAAGGGCTCCAACAATTGTATTAAAAAGACCTGTGAGCCACAGTTGCACTTTGGAGTCTTTATTGCTGGAAAGGAATATTGACCCCTGCCAATTCTGCTGCATCTGCCAATCCTCCATGAAGCTTGGGAGACAGTAAGTCTCGCAAGAATATTGCAGAGTCAAGGAGAAACCCACTGTCACCTATAAAGACACTAAAAGACCAGAAAGTAGTTTGGGGATGGAGAGAGATATGGGACTGCTGTTGGCTGGTGTCCTCCTGTTGGCCATTCAGACTGGATTCTTCTCAACACTGAGAAAAACCTGAAGAAGATTTTGAGAGGGATTTTTTTAGGTTAACTGGAACAGAACTGGATACCAGACAGTTATACCCACAGAAATATTTAGAATTAAAAGGTTAGTATTACATAAAGGTAAAGGTTCCCTTGCTCGAAAGCCAGTCAAATCCGACTCTAGGGTTGCAGTGCTCATCTCCGTTTCAAAGCCGAAGAGCCAGCGCTGTCTGAAGACATTTCCGTGGTCATGTGGCCGGCATGACTAAACACCAAGGCGCACGGAACGCTGTTACCTTCCCACCAAAGTGGTACCTATTTTAAAAGGTAAAGGTTCCCTTGCTCGAAAGCCAGTCGAGTCCGACTCTAGGGTTGCGGTGCTCATCTCTGTTTCAAAGCTGAAGAGCCAGCGCTGTCCAAAGACGTTTCCGTGGTCATGTGGCCGGCATGACTAAACACCAAGGCGCACGGAACGCTGTTACCTTCCCACCGAAGTGGTACCTATTTATCTACTTGCAATTTCTTGCTTTCTAACTGCTAGGTTGGCAGGAGCTGGAACTAGAGACGGGAGCTCACTCCATCATGTGGCACACCCGGGTCTCGAACTGCTGAACTACTGACCTTCCACAGCCTGCAGTTCAGCGTCTTAACCACTTGAGCCACTGCAGCTCCTACCGTAGTATTACATACAGAGCACAAATATGTATAAACATGCAAAAGCCTATATGTGAGGTAAGATGGAATGGAAAGTGGTATGAGATAGGAAATGTAAATAAAAAATGTGAATTTTGGTGGGAGGTAGTGACTTCACAAGAAGGGGAGGAGATGGATGAAGAGTCATTCAACCTTGGAATGTTGTCACAGGATATGATATCACATTAGCGATGCCACTCTTCAGGGGGGGCCGGGGGATCTAATTATAGCTCATTCTGAGTACAGAGATCCCCTGGAAAAATTGATGCTTAGGAAGGTGATCTTTATGACATTGTATTCCACTGAAGTTCCTGTCCTTCCCAGGCTCTACTCCAGGTTGGGAAATATCTGGAGATGTGGGGGGTGGAACCTGAGGAGGGGAGGGACTTCAGTGGGGTATAATGCCATAAAGTCCACCTTCCAAAGCGGCCATTTTACCGAGGTGAATTTATCTCTGTTGCCTGGAGATCTGTTGTAATCCCATCACCTGGAGGTTGGCAACTATTCCACTCCCAAATCTCCAGGAGCTTTCCAACCTGGAGCTGGCAATTCTACCCCCCTATCCATGGCCATGGGGGACCGCACAACCCTACATCACATCTGTGCTGAGTTCGCATTGATTAAGTCTACTTTTACTTCAGAAATTCCTCCTCCTCCAAACTCTAATCAAGGAGATCCAAATCCATTTTGAACTTTACAGTGAAAATAAAAACCTTCTTTAAGAACCTGCATGTTCTCTTCCGTAAGAGTCCCTAAGTCTTTGATTATGTAAAATGCTCCAGGTCTGATTCAGAACATGTTTACTTGAAAGCTGGCCCTGCCATTATGAATGGGATGTTTACTAGAAAGTTATATAAGACGTAAAGCTTTAATGGCTGATCCTAGAGTGCTTTCTATTATTTCATAAGAATAGGAGATTAAAAATGGCAACTGCTAGTCTGGGATGTTGAATGCAGCATGGCTTTCCCTAGTAAATACAATCAGCACTCAAACTAGGAGATAAAAGTGGGGGGGGGGCTGATGAAATCCACAAAGCCTACCAACCAGTACCTCCACTAAATAGACCTGGGGGGGGGGCGCAAATTTCCCCCATCCTTTAATTTTCTACAAACAGTAGTTAAAGGAGGTCATCACAGAAAGCAGAGTACCAAGAACCTAGTCCTCCCTGGAACTGACACTGATTTTTGTAGGGAATAGGGATATGATGAAGAAGCCAGCTAATTGTTAATAGACAGTTCACTTTTTAATGTCATACATACAGAAATCTCTTTATAAAGAGCTAGGTACAGGGAACCACATTAGTTGCAGTTTATTAGAACAAGGCAGATACTAGAATACACAAGTCATAATCTGAGTTCTTCAGGCTCTATTAAAGTTTCAAAACATGTGCATACATCCTAGGGTTTTTTTTCAAGTTAATACCACTGCACAGGAAGCGCTCAACTGGCATTACAATTAAATCTGATTTGTCACTTCATGTTCTCAGATGTGCTCAGACAAAAAGTTTGTTTTCTTTAGACTTCTACAGTAACATGTAGACCCAAAGATAACATCTTTAATGGTTAAAAATATAGTTCAAGAAAACAACAAACTTCCAACCAGTAGAATGAAAATTGATCATCATCATACCAACAGCAACTTCTTCTGGTATTCCTGCACTGATTCATTATACATTTTTAAAAGGCACCACACATTAGAATTTTAAAGCAAGTGAGTAAACAAAACTAAGCAACCTTCTATTAATTCCTTATTGTACAAGCACAAACATTTTAAGGCAAGTGTTTCATGTGCAAAATACAGAATACGGGTAAAACCAACATTAACGTTACATAGTCTTACACCACCTTCTTGTAATAACATTGGCATCAATATGTACAGTACACTGAAAACATTTTCTCTAGCAGAGCTCTGTCTAGGCTGCAGATGTGGCCCTGATCACAAGTTAACGAGCTTTTAAAATTTAGATTGTGTCGGCAAAAGGGGGGGGGGAAGATCACTCTCTTTTTCTTGACTCTTCTTTTAGAAAAGTCCATATCAACTTGTTCACGATGTCAGGTTGATCTTGTTGGAGCCAGTGGCTAGCGTCAGAAAGAATAGTCAGTCTAAATTGATTTTTGACATACATTCTTGTGATTTCTGCCATCTCCACCTCCATAAAAGGATCTCTTTCTCCCCATAGCAACAAAGTAGGCATGGTGACCTCATGGTGCTGAAGAGGTAGGCAACTTTAAAACAAAATAGCAATATTTAAGTTATTATTTAAAAAGAAATCCGTTCAGCTATATTTCACAATCTGTTGTACCAAGCCAGGCATGGTGTCAAGTTTCCTCATGCAGCAAATATATGGATACAGATGAGCATCTACATCCACATGAGAATGCACACCCCAGTCTTAATGAAGCAGCCGCATCTGTCTTTGAATTTATTATCATTAGTTATGGTATATATAATACAGAATGCTGGGTTGGGGCTATAGACATGTAAACAAATTCCTCAATTTAGTAACTTATCTGAAGATTAAGTTTTATTTTAGCACCAAGGACAACTGCCCTTAATTTGTTATAAAATCAATAAATGAACCTAATCAGTCTTCCATGGAATTTATTGTTCTTTCAGGTTAAGAGAGCCCTTGTGCAATATAAAGAGGCCGTGTCCTATGAATGGCAAGTTCCAAGAGACTGGGGAGCAAATCTTCACTGCATCACCTTTTGGAAGGAACGGGGGCTGTTGGATGAGGTGGACAATGCCACATCTGCAAGTTCCTTGCACTCATGGTTCACAGGATTCAACCTGTTGTGATATGGCGCAGCAGGCTCAAAAGGTGAAATACGTAACAACAACAATTAGTACACTTTCAGTTCCTAGACAATATGAATGTTTTAGGCATACGCCCTGCACAAAGATGGGAAAGGATTCAAATATATATGCCCTGCTATCCAATTTTAGGTGCATGAGAGAGGATTTTTCTAGCCCAGATATTACCCATACAGGCCCATAGCCAGAAAATTTTCAGTGGGAGGGCACCGGGGGCCCCAACGTCACTTCCGACATCACACAAAAAAAGAAAAATCAAATAAAAGAAAAATAAAAGAATAAAACCTCTTTAAAGGGCAAAAGCCCTGATGCATAGCCCAGGTTAGCCCCCCACCCCGAACAACAGAACTGCCGGTCATGTCCCTTTGCATGCTTCCTCACTTGTCCTTCCTCACGATGCCCCTGGCAGGTAGCCTACCTGAGTCCATGGCCGGAGTGGGCTACACAGCCCACATGCTTCCTTTCAAACCAAGGCTGCTCTGTGGCTGCCCAACAACCTGGTTGCAGAGTTGCCCCCCCCCCGCCCGCAGGAGGTTTCAGCCCTGGGCCAGGTCCCACCCCACTGAGCTACTGCACTCCAAAAAGGCTCCTCACAAATGCCAACAGGAACTTACACTTAATTACTCCAGCCCATCTTGCCAGAGCCATCAGGCAGAGAGCAAATGTCTCTTGCCAGCCCTGAGCCCGAGTGTGCCATATTGTATTGGTCAGGGGGAGGGCAGGCATGGCATAACCAAGTAAAAAAAGGATCAAGCCAGGTGAGGGTGAACTTGGGTTGGAGGGCAGGAGGGGCAGGGCAGATTCAGGGTGGGGCATGAGCCCCAGGGAGCCCCACTGTTGCTATGTGCCTGGTTACCGCATGAATGCATAGAATCTAATTCATACTGTTCCTTTGATTCAAATCATATCTAAGCCCTCATCTCATAAACTAGCATGATGCAGAACCACAAGACTAGAGGAAACCCAAACATAGGCTGCGGTCACACACACTAAATAATCCACTTTCAATCCAAGTGCAAGGTGATGCACATTGGAGCCAAAAATCCTAAATATAAATACACATTGGTGGGGTCTGAACTGGCAGAGACTGATCAAGAGAGAGATCTTGGAGTTGTAGTAGATAACTCACTGAAAATGTCAAGACAGTGTGTGACTGCAATAAAGAAGGCCAATGCTATGCTGGGGATTATTAGGAAGGGTATTGTAAACAGATCAGCCAATATCATAATGCCCCTATATAAATCAATGGTGAGACCTCATTTGGAATACTGTGTGCAGTTCTGGGCACCACACCTTAAAAAGGATATTATAGCTTTGGAAAAAGTGCAGAAAAGGGCAACTCGAATGATAAAAGGGTTGGAACACTTTCCCTATGAGGAAAGGTTAAAGCGCTTAGGGCTCTTTAGAGGACGTCCTTCTTCACCCAAAGAGTGATTAACACTTGGAATTCACTGCCACAGGAAGTGGTGGTGGCTACAAGCATGGACGGCTTCAAAAGGGAATTAGATAAGCATATGGAGCAGAGGTCCATCAGTGGCTATTAGCCACAAGGTATAGATAGGGACTCTGGGGCAAGTGATGCTCTGTCTTCTTGGTGCTTGGGGGGGGTCAACAGTGGGAGGGCTTCTAATGACCTGGCCCAACTGGTGGACCTCCCGATGGCACCTGGTATTTTTAGCCACGGTGTGATACAGAGTGTTGGACTGGATGGGCCTTTGGCCTGATCCAACATTGGCGTCTCTTATGTTCTTATGTAATCCACTTTCCAACTGGATTTTGTCAGTTCACACAGTAAAATCCAGTTGAAAAGTGTACTGAAAGTGCAGTCCACATGACTGCTGGAATGGCTGCCATCATTAAGGCCTATAAAACACATCTTGTCAATTCAGTAACATCCAAAGAAGAGGGGGGGAAACACCTAATATAAGGTTTTTTTCATGAATACACTAATGATTTATTTATTATTTTATTTATTTTATTAATTCAATTTATACCCCACCCCATCGACTCAAAAGATTTAGGGGCTTTTCCGCATTCTCATTTCCTTGCTTGTGTGTTCCTATTGCTTCAGGGGTTTTCCTGTGTTTTACTCCCTCTAGTGGTCAATTGGATATTACATCAATCTATGCTGGATATAACGTAGTGTAATACTGAATCAACCACAAGAGGGAGCAAAAGGTTTGTGGAACAGACCCTCCACTCGTAACCTGGAGCAACAGGAAAAACCGAAGCCAGAAAATGAGAATGTGGAAAAGCCCTTCATTTAAGCAAGTTTTGTCTTATTGAAATAAAGGGATCTACCCAGATTGAAAATATTTACTGAGAAATAAGTCCCATTGATTTCAGTGAAGCTCCTTTCCAAGTAAGTGCCTGGATGTGTAATCCTAAGGACACCTGGAAGTAATTCCCACTGAAATCACTGCAACTTACTTCTGAATAAGTGGTGGTGGAAACAGGCCTGTAACTACAGTGGAGATTTGGGGGGCGCTGCCCCCTTTCTTAAAGGCACAGCCCCACAAGAATTTCTCCTGTAAATGCTTTTTTCAATTATTTTAAAACATTTTTAAAGGCGTGTGCTCCTTTAAGCAAAGTGGGGTGCTGTAGCTGAGTAATTCCTGCACTGAGCAAGGGGCTGGAGTAGGTGACCTCTAGGTTCCCTTCTAACTCTGTGTTGAGAAACTCGTCTCCTTTAAGAGAGTTTAAGAGAGAGGCCCCCTGCAGATCGGCAACCCTACCTCAGACTGCCCAATAAAACTTCACGTAGAATTTCCAAAAAGGACAACAGAGATTCTCATTTTGTCTCTGACTTACACAAACCTCTCTCAGAAGCAGCTCTTGTGTTCATGCATGACACAGGAGGAGATTTGTCCTTAATTGACACATGCCCCCTAAACCAAGCCCTAAAGGTTCACCTACCTGCTTGTGAAGAGAGGCTTGGATAATGTGCTTCACCCAAGAACATTTTACTTACCTGAAAAGGTTTCTATAGTGATTAATGGGACCAGTTAGTGCTCCTGGCTGGGAAAAAACATAAAGGTAAGCTTCAATATCTTCTGCTGTTAGCTTGCAGCCTTTTCTTCCTATTCCAGTGGATGGGCTGGTAAACAGATTTTTCAGAGTCTACAACAATAAATAAGAAAATGCATCAAAGATGTTTAAAACTGCTCTAAATTGCTAAGCAATTGTAAATCATCACCATTGTCATATTTTCAAACTGAGTAGGAAATGCTTGCTTGTATTAATCAGCCTTCCACTGTTATTTATGGTTAAGCTAAAATTAGAAAGCAAAATTTTTCCCAGGAACCTAGTTCTGATCAAATCTGGATGCAGCACACATTGGTAAAGCAAAACATGTTGAGATATGGCTGTCAGATTGCTGTAGAGAGGACACAGTTTTGGCTCAGAATACTGCTGTAGATTGCCTTTAGAAAAGCACAGCTCCTCCTTTAGAGTTCACTGGAATCTAATCCAGGATCAGGATCGCAAGTGATACTTTATTGAGTAGGTTACATTTGCCATTGAGGCAAAGGTATGAAATGCCAGCATGGCTAGAGTATTGGATTTGGATCTGCAAGTAGGTTGCCACTTCGAGGCAGGTGCTGGAGATCTCCCAGAATTACAACTGATCTCCAGATAACGGAGAGCGGGGAACTGGGGGGAAATGGCTGTTTTATTTTATTTTTGAGACTTGCATCCCACCCTACCCTGCAAGCAGGCTCAGGGCAGCTTAACAACAAGCAAAGTCAAACATTAGTTATAAAACAGTTCATTAAAATATTAGCTCAACAATTAAAATTTAGTTGACTAATTCTTGACAGCAAAGTAGGCTTGCCAAGTCCCCCCGGGGGCGGGGAAACCCCCACCCCAGAGGCCCGTTCCCCGCCGTCGGCAGATTGGGCCCCAGGGGGAACCCCACCCCCACGTGCACGTCACCAGAAAGTGACATGACGATGCTGGGCACGCTGGGGGCGGGGCCACGACCATCCGAGGGGGAAACTCTATGGTTTTTCCTCGGACAGTCGTGGCCCCGCCCCCAGCGCGCCCAGCGTAGTCACGTCACTTCCTGGTGAAGTGCATGCGGCGCGCGCACGCTTCGTGCGCACACTCAAGCCGCAAGCCAGGAGTTCCCCGCTGCGGCGATTTTTTCACTTGGCAACCTTACAGCAAAGCAATAATTTCTTCTTTGAATGTCTGCTGGGCTCATGCCAGGGTGGGTGGTGTGCGCTCTGCCTAAACAGATCACTCAGTCCAGGTGTAAGTAAGACCATGGGCACTTGAGCAGAGGAGGCGGATTTTATTTGACGTCCACCACCTCAACCAAAGGCCTGGCGGAACAGCTCTGTTTTGCAGACCCTGCAGAATTACAATGGTATTAAAGCATGCTGAAGTCCCTCCCCTTCCCAAACCTCACCCCCCAAGGCTCCACCCCCAAATCTCCAGATATTTCCCACGTGGGAGTTGGCAACTTTATCTCCACACCTAGGTTCAAACCCCTCCTCAGCTTATCATGTGACCTTGGACCACTCTCTCTCTCCTCTCTGCCTAATTTGCCTTGCTGCAATGTTATTTGCAAAATAAATTGGAAGAGCCATGTACACAGTAGTAACTTCCTAGAAAGAAGGGCGGAAAACAACAACAACAACAAAGATGCATCTAAAGGCCTCTTCACACATAATGGGTTGGATGCTATGAACCATGAATGGAAGGAATTCATAGAACAGATAACTGCTCAGTTCCCCTTACAGACTCCTCCCTGAAAATATGCTCCTAAGGGTCAAGGAACCCTTGGGAATAGAGCAGGATGAAGCATAGGGAGCTACTTGTGTTGCCAATAGGCCTGGGGAAAAAATGTCCTGCCCCTTTAACAGAAGTTTAATGTGTGGAACTGGGGAGCTGAAGTTTTTCAGGGCATAGAGATAAATAACATCACCAGGTAAACAGCATCCCATTAAAGGTAAAGGTAAAGGTTCCCTTGCTCGAAAGCCAGTTGAATCCGACTCTAGGGTTGTGGTGCTCATCTCTGTTTCAAAGCCGAAGAGCCAGCGCTGTCCAAAGACGTTTCCGTGGTCATGTGGCCGGCATGACTAAACTCCAAGGCGCACGGAACGCTGTTACCTTCCCACTGAAGTGGTACCTATTTATCTACTTGCAATTTCTTGCTTTCAAACTGCTAGGCTGGCAGGAGCTGGAACTAGAGACGGGAGCTCACTCGGTCATGCGGCACACTTGGGTCTCGAACTGCTGAACTACCAACCTTCCACAGCCTGCAGTTCAGTGTCTTAACCACTTGAGCCACCGCAGCTCCTCCGTTAAAAGGACCAGATATTTTTTCTTTGGACTGCTGGCAACCTTAAGGGCTACAGTTTGAGAGAAATAACTTGCATTCTTCAGAAGCGCTTTAAACCTCAGAGCTCTCTCAAGAGTATGTGTGAACTTTTCTGCCAATTCCCCTTTCTTGGGACTGTCGCCCCATACCACATCCCATCTTTTCCCCAAGAGACGTCTTGTCCTCAGGAACACAGGAGACTGCAAAAGGATGCACTGGGAAGAGGGAAAGAACCATTCTATGAACTCCTTCCATTTACAGTCCATGGGATCCAACTCTATGTTTGTAGGTATTTAAATGTGTACTTAAAAATATACAGCATGAATGGAATGAACACATGTGCCATACCACTTAAGGAGCCAGGATCAGCTGACTCTTTGTGGCAGGCCAGGACTTGTCAAGTAGAAGTGTGAGATAAGACTAATTTTTAATATTATGTTTTCAGCAACAAGTGAATAACCCATCAATGGAATCTCCATATTCAGAGGCAGCAAACCTCTGAATGCCAGTGCTAGGAGGCAACATCAGGAAAAGGCCTTGGACTCCATGCCCTATTCGTTGGGCCTTCAAGGCAACTGGTTGGCTGCTGCATGAAACATGTGTTGGTCTGATCCATCAGGGCTCTTTTTAAGCTCTTACGTTCTTCCGATAATTTTTAAAACTGTTTTTAAAAAGATTTCCAGCAGGAATAATTCTGAATAGTCAAATTTTAAAGGGGAATTTCTCAAAGGACATTTCGATGTAGCATGAAATTTTCTTGCATTCTTTGTGCACGTGTGAGGATGATCTTAATGTGGGACTGAAAGCAGAATATGCATTAAAAATAAAATGTACATTCAAGCCAGCTCTATTTGAGCAAACAGGAGACCCACAAGGACTTGCAGGAAGCATCTCATTTTCCCTTCTCCCACTATATCTTTTTTCTGTTCCCTGAAAGGCCCAGTTGAGGAGCGGGGAACTGTCAAGGAGTTGTGGGAGGGTATCTACCTCATTTCCCCCTATATCCCCTTCTCCATGCTGTTTCCTCTTTCCGTCTTCCTGGCAACTGCCATTTCCTCACCTTTCCCTGCTTCCTTCTCTCCTTTCCACCTACCTACCTATCTGCCTTTTATCTGCCACCCATTTTCTGCTATACTTATCATTTATTTACTTAATTTATGCCCTGTCTTCTCTACAATGGGGATTCAAAGCAACTTAACAACCCTGTGGGGTAGGTTAGGCTGAGAGTGTATGGCTGGCCCAAAGTCACCAAGTGAGCTTCCATGTCAGATTGGGGATTCAAATCTGGGTCTTCCAGATCCTAATCTGAAACTCTAATCACTATCATACTGGCTTTTGTGGGGTTGCTGCTGCTGAACAGCAGGCCTGGCCCTGATAAGCCCTGCCCCCTTCCTCCTGCCTTTTATTGACAGATACCAAGGCTTGAATGCTGGCAATACTATTGTGGTTGCCTACCACCAGCCACTGAGGACATTTATTTCTTAAAGTTACAGGCTGTGTCCTGAGGGCGAGCCTCTGCAGGGATGGCCGCCGCCGCTCGGGACTCCACCACCCCCAACCATCCCAGCCCCGACTGTGTCAACACCTACCGGAGGCTACAGCTGACCTGCTATGCTGGGACCCGGCGGGACACCCCCAAAACGGCCGGGAGATGCCGCCCTCAACGAATGGCCAATGCAAAATGGGAATGCCCCAGAAGGGGGGAAGGAGACCGCGACAGGCCAATGGCCCGGCGCGAGGGACCACCCACAGCCCCAAGCAGAATGGGAACGGGGAGACGCTGGGCTGACGCAGCCGTTAGGGCCAGAGGGAAGGAGCCGAAAGGAAGCCACACCCCAGACTCAGTGTCCCGGGATAAGAGAAGGGGGTGGGGCCAAGACGGAGGGTGGAGGGCGGAACACAAGGGAGGCAGATGGCACGGGACTGGAATAAAATGGGGAACTCAGACAGGCTGAGGAGAGAGAGAGAGAACTGTCTGAGCATGCCAAGGGAGAGCAGAGGGTGGTGATGTAACCTCCTCTCCTCCCGATACTCTGAGGCTTCTGGAGTCCCCCCCCTTCCCTGGATGGCAGGGTGCGGTGGCGGATGGTTCGTGGCCGCAGGCGCCCAGCGATAGTGACGAGGGGTCGTCTAGCTCATGTGACATGCTGTTTCTATCATTTTGGGTTTTTTAAAAAACCCTAATATTATTTTTTGTCTGTTTGTTTTATATTTCAGATTTTTTTGCAAACCTAAAACTTTTCTCAGGTTTCTAGAAACAGTTGTCTTGTCAGTCCATGGTCCCAATTTCTGAATTTAAGTATCCACAGATGGGGCCATGTTATATGTGGTAACATACATTTAAAAAGTATCATTTCTGAAAAAGACCTAACAGTCTGGGCTATTTTTGGGCAGGAACGCACAGGAACGGAGTTCCGGCTGGCTCCCAAGTTGGCCACGCCCAGCAGGAACTCATTAGCATAATAGGCCACACCCAACAGCAGAAACTCATTAGGATTGGCTACATTAGGGGTGTGTGGCCTAACATGCAAAGGAGTTCCTGCTACAAAAAGCCCTGGGTTGTGACAACAAACAAGGTAAACAGAATAACAAGCAAAAGGTGGGTGTGGCTGGATAACCACACTTCTGGTAACAGGGGTGTGCAGCCTAATGTGCTAATGAGCTGTGCTGTCAGGGGTGTGGCCCAATATGCTAATGAGTTCCTGCTGTTGGGTGTGGCCTATTATGCTAATGAGTTCCTGCTGGGCTTTTTCTACAAAAAGAGCCCTGTTTCATATATATGTGTTCTCCAAGGTACATCCCACTGAATTCAATGAAGTTTACTCTCAAGTGTCATAGGTAGGGTTGCCAGCTCTGTGTTGAGAAATACCTGGAGATTTAGGAGGTGGGTTTGTGGAGGGAAGGGGCCTCAGCAGGGTATAATGCCATAGAGTCCACCCTCTAAAGGAGCCATTTTCTCCAGGGGACCTGATCTTGGTCATCTGGAGAACAACTGTAATAGTGGGGGATGTCCAGGTGCCCTCTGGAGGTTGGCATCTCCAGTTGTAGGACATGTAACACTAGCATGTACATCCCAGAAAACAAGAACACATGCATTGCTGGCTATGCGCTGTAACAATAAAATTCATTCATTCATGTATGTGTTTTTACGCTTACACACAATTTCTAATAAACCACTAAACACTGAAGACAATATCTTAGTATTAAAAGTAAACCTTTCATTCTTGCATTGAAATTGAGGGGCAGTGTTCCCATAAATAATACATTCAACAAGTTTTCTTTCTAGACATTCACCTTGAAATCATTTATTGTAAACATAAGTTCAGGAAACCATGGCATCTGGAAGAAGTAGTACAAAGAGGATTTCATCATTTGTGATGGATGTCGTAAAATGTATTCTTAAAAAGAAGAAAAAAAGAATGAGCAAGAAAAGCTGATGAAATTCTGACAAACTCTAGTTTTTTAAAATCCAGGAATGACTACAGTAAAACTCATAATATTTTAATAATCATAAATATAATTATTTTCTCCTTAATCTCACAGAAGCAAGAAAAAAGCATGCAGAAGTGAGCCGTGTTGCAAGCAATTGATTTGATATAGCAAATTCCGGTTTTTTTTGAATAGCAGTATTGCTAGAACCATTCTTAGGATTTCACAGCAAAAAATACAATTGACTGGGATAAAGGCATCAGCAAAGAATCAGATTTTAAGGCATGAATTCTTAAACTAGATGCATCTCACTAAAAACAAAAAGCTGCTGGTTTCTCTCCATCCTGCTACCCATGATGCTCTGGTTTTTAATCCACAAGGACACATAAAAGCAATTTCAGATCAGCCAAGAATGAGCTGTCAAAAAAAAGGCAGAACCTTGCAACAGGGTGCATAAGTGCTTTACCCTAAGAATATACCCCCTTTTCTCACATTAGCAGGTCACATCAGCATTTTGTGGCATCATTGAACAAGGTCACATATAAGTTGTTGATATAGCAGAGCCTAAAATGTTATAGCAATATACATTTTCATTTCAGTTTGAATTCCCACCTCCACTTCTGAATCCCTCCCACACACTTCATACAGAGAAGCACTGGATGTCCTGTACACTTGAGGCTCCCCATTTATCCAATGCACAGCCTTTGAACTAATTTTCGTCAGAGCACTCCTGTGACAGACAGTAAATGGTTAATGCTGTAACCCTGACTGAGAACCTTGAGTGACAGGGAATTCAAATGGAATTACTCAGTTGAGAGGGTCAGTTAGGAGTTGGGAGTTGAGAGTTAAGGGGGGGGGGAGGAGAAAGGGTGAAGCAGACTGTGAGAGGATCAAGAAAGATCTTGAGTTAGGGAAGCTGGACAAGTAGCCCATCCCTATCAAGACAGGGGGAAATAGCTCCCAGAAGAACGGGGGTGATCCGTAGCCAGTGGATAAGGAAATGGCAACTTCATCAACTTTAGTGTCTATGAGACCAAGACGCTTACGCTTGTTTATTTAAGCAGAGACTGCCAAGAAATTTCTCTTCTCAAGTTTTAAAGACCAGTCTGAATAACAGAAACAACTACTGTTTGTGACAAATTATCTGGTTTCTTTAATACAAAGTTATCTCAGCCCTGTTGCCTGTTTATCTCGTAAGTCCTAAACTTGATTCCTACCTGACTGTTTCCCCTCAAACTGAAATAAAACAGATGGTTAGTTCTGAGTTATCATCAACCTCTGTTGTGCCTTTATCAAACAAGGAAAAAAGAAGGATTTTAGCCTCTCCCCTTAGTTCCATAGGCTGAGACAGCATTTACCAATGTACATTAAAATGACTGTGTGGGACAGCCAGAGAAAGGGGCTGCACAGCTAATAACAAGCTAAAGGGAAATCCTGTGAAGGAGGGCGAAACTGTCATAGCTCCTAACTTCCTTACAATGTTCAGAGATCTACTCTTTCTTCCAGTTCTTTTCTGAAACTGCCATCACCCATCCTCTCTACACTAGAATTCTGGAGTTCCATATGAAAGAGATTCCAGTGGATCCCAGCTCAGAAACAGAGGAGAGTTTATCAGGATCTGGAGCCTGAAATCATTGAGATGATCAGGGCAAAAGAAAATACTTATTCACACAGCATGCAATTAATGTATGGAATCCGTCCACCCATGATGGCATGCTAGCCATGGTCTCAGATGTCTTTAAAAGGGGATCAGACAGACTCATGGAGGATAGGTTTATCAGTGGCTATCAAGACAGCTAGATGAAAACTGCCAAGTTCTGAGGCAATATACCACTGAATAACAAATGCTGGGGAAAGGGAAGACAAACAGTCAGGGAGCACTATTGCCCTTGTGCCCTGCTGATGGACCTTGCGAAAGCATCTAGCTGGCTAGGCTACCATGGGAAACAGGATGATGGATATCCATGTGCTCTGATTTAGCAGTCCTTGAGTTATATTCAGAAGACTGAATCCTGCCCCTGCCCCAAAACTCACCTGTAAAAACCGAGGGGTGTGGAAAATTAACAACAATCAGCTTAATCACCATTTCTGGGTAACAAATAGCGGCTAGCCAGGCGATCATTCCACCCCAGTCGTGCCCAATCAGCACACATTTGCTGTATCCTGTTAGTTAAAAATATATTTGAACAGTTGTTTAACAACAGTTACCTCCAAATAAATTATCACATCAAAGTAAATGGCAGTACATGTTACAGAATATTACCTAGCAATATCACAGTTTCACTGTTTTTTCTTATGCCACCACAGTTATGCGATCAGTTCTATAAATAAACTTTTAAAAGAATGTAGACTTATAGTGGGGGGAAATAGCACACAGAAAGCAGAAAATTTAAGATAATAGTTTCTACCTTCTCATGTTCCTTTCTCTTGGTATACCCAGGGGTCTTGTTGTAGAAAAAGAGCTGCCGGAGCTCATTAGCATAACTCATTAGCATAACTTATTTGCATATGCCACGCCCCCTGACATCACCGGAAGTGACAGAAGGCCACACCCCCTGACATCACCGGAAGTGTGTCAGAAGGCCCGGCTACTTACCCTCCTGCTTCATCCTCATTCCCAAACGGAATGAGGATCGAAGCAGAGGGCGGGGTAAAGAAGGGGGCGGGGCTTCACCACATGACCGCCCCGCCCCCTAGAGGGTCTCTTCCGGAGCTCCGTACCTGAGAGCTCCCCCCCGACTAGAGCCCTGGGTATACCTGTAATTTTTAGCCTTACTGTAGAACTGTGGTCTTCCAGACCGCAGAGCCACTTTTAACTCTCAGGAGCAGCATGGGACTCACTGAGCTGCAAACATGTGTCATTACAGTCACATGACAGGAAGGGAGAATCCAGAGTTATGACCTTTAATGGAGCACTGGAGGTGGGAGTGGGAGTGACCAGCCTGAGGAAAGAGAGAGAAGGCAAGGAAGAGCTTTTACAGGGAGGAAATTCTGTGCAACTGCCTGTGCTAAAAAGAAACCTCTCCACCTCTGGATGACTTTGCCTCACAGTTCCGTTGCTCTGCTTAGTGCATATGGAAAGAGAGACAAGAGGTGTGGTGTCTATGCATGTTCTCTATGCATGTGACCTAGCCACTGGTCCTTCCACAAAGCAACTCCCAAATGTCAATTCTACATAGGCACCCACAACCCAACAGGAGAAGGTCCACAAACTGAGGGTCATGACCTGTGGATGAGAACCATTGTTGTAGAATACTATACACTGGCTGGCTCAGGGGATCTTGGCATTAGGGGTGTGCAATTTTTAAAAATCAGAAGATTTAAACTGAGCTGCACAAGAAGCCAGCCCCAAGCCAAGCTGGCAGGAACAGTCTGTGTCCCCTGACACAGCTGGTCCTCGGGTTGTCTTCTGCAGTCCCTTTAAACTTCAAAGGGACTGCAGTAGAAGCCCGACAAACAGTTTAGAGGCGGGAACTATCTGCTCCTGCCTTTCTGCTGTTTTCAGATCTATTGGTAAGTCCTGAATATATCTGGGATTTTCTCTGGATTTGTTTTTTTTTTGGGGGGGGGGGGTTCCAAAAAAACCTGGATATATTTGGGAAGCCAAAATATACCTGAAAAATACCGATAAGATATTTTTGGGTATATTTTTGGCTCTGGTAGATCTGAATACACACCTCAACTTGGTGCCTAGTTAGAAAAACCTAAATGCTGTCCAGACTCCAAACACAAACTATGTTGACCATAGTGGCTGCCTGAAACTACTTAATGGTTGGGCTGACATGAATCTCAGCATCTTTAATTATATAGATATGATGACAATACTGAACACGAGCTTAATCCAAACCAGTGCTGCTCAGCATTCAAAGACTGCTCGACTAGTTACATATACCTAAGCAAGCATTATAATCACTCACTTACCCTCCCACCCACCCTACTACAAGATAAATTACTTTGCAAATAGAGGACTTTAAGATAAGTCACGAGGATCTGCAAAATATCCAGTGCATGTGAATATGCCTCTTAGCTACCTTAAACTAGCTTTTTGGATCCCAGGTACTGCATGCAATGACTACAGCATGAAGCACATATAGATGCCTGTTTAAATCTGGTGACGGAGTGGAGGGTAGACAGCCATTTTGTAAATGGCAGAATAACTGGACTAAGACTTTCCTCCAGTGCTCATTTTCCATATATGGAGATGAAACTAGTATGATTTTTGCATATGGAACTGCTATGCCATGTTCCAAGAGCCCATTACCTGCACTATCCTTCCGCTACACATGTGTACCTGTTCACAACTGATTATTTATTTACTTCACCTACACCCTAACTTCCTATCCAATGGGGACCCAAAGCAGCTTACAATGTTCTCCTTTTTTCCATTTTTATCTTTATAACAATGCTGTGAAGTAGATTAAGCTAGGCTGAGAGTATGTAACTGGCAGCAAGTTTCAATGGCAGAGTGGGGATTTGAACCTGGGTCTCACAGATCCTAGTTTGACACTCTGACTTCTCTACCACATCGGCTCCATGGAAAACAACTCAACGAAGATCCAACAATAAGAACTAATGTCATACTGAACTTCACACCACTGAAACTCCAAGTAAAACCAGCCTATCCTATTTACAATATAATTTCAGATAAGTATCAAATGTAGGAAAGGGGGACTGCATGTTTTCACCTTTTCTTTGTACCCTTGCTCAGCCTGACTGCTTGAAAGACCATGTGTATTATTTTTTTATTCATTAAACCAAATGCTGTAAGCCTGATCTCCAGAAATGCATTTCACCTGTTTGGTCTTACTATCTGAAGTGTGGGAATGGGAAGAAGCAGTGGGCAAGCATGCCAACTTTGGAGCATGATAGCTCAAAACCTTGACGTAGATCATCCCTGTGCTAGGTTGAAGGAGTGAAGAAGGATATGCAGCAACTAGGTGGAGCCTGCAAATGATAATGCAGGTACAGAATGCTAACCGTGCAAGTTTGTTTTGCCGGGGATACTCTCCGAGTTGCTGGAAGTGGTGGGAGTTAGCTAGTTTGTGTTCAGCACCCCTGAATAGAGAGGGAAAGGGCTGGTGTCACTGAGTGGATACCTGGGATGGTGGCAGGGTCTCCTGACTTCCCAGGGACCAACCTGAAGGAATAGGAGGGGCTTATGAATCCATTCCTTCACACATCATTATTATGTCACATTTAAAAGTGTGGGCCTGGAGTTATACCTGTCTTCATTCTACAGAGATCAGTTTCCCTTGAGGGAATGGCAGCTTTAGAGGGCAGACCCTGTGGAATCACAACCTTGCTGAGATCCCTCCCTTCCCCAAACTTCCCACTCCATGGGCATTCCCCAAGAATCTCCCAAGCTGGAGATAGCAACCCCTGTCCAATTATTTGAACACATTACATTATGGCAAAATACTGTGACATTTCATTGTTCCAAAAGCGTGGACCTCACAAGCAGTGTTCCCTCTAAGCTGCGGAGTCTTGTGAGCAAAAATTCTACTTTGTGCGCTACTGGCATTAAAGCTGTGAGCAAGCAATTTGGCGACTGCATAAATCAGTTTGCTCTGGAGCCATCCTTCCTGAGCGAAGACAAAAATGTGTGAGCTGGAGGCTAGAAAACTGTGAGCTAGCTCACACTAACTCAGCTTAGAGGGAACACTGCTCACAAGCTTTATTGAGCAACAGGCTGTATTTCGTGGCCATTTACACACTTGTGCAAAGGTAAACTCAAATTTGTCAGTGAGCCTCCTCTCCCAGTTTAGCCTCTTCTTCTTGTTCCATCCCAGCTTTCTGACACACCTGCGAGAGAGTTGTGACCCACTTTTGGGTCCAGACCCACATTTTGAGAACCACCAGCATAGGGGACCTTTTGTAACCCATTTCCTGGATCTGAAGTGTCATCTGTTCTAACTCTTCAGCACCACCTCATTGCATTGCATGTATATAATCTAGGCCCCAGGTGATCGAGACCAGGAGCCAGATATAACTGAGAAGTGTGGAGAAGCTGAAGGGATTGTACAGCTAGAGATGTTTGCAGTTGCCAGAGCTGCAACTAGGAGCGCAGAGATCTATGCACAGCTCGATCCAGTACAAAATTTCCACTTGTGCTAGAGCTCCTGCACAAGCAGAACCACGTGGAAAAGATTGTGATAGCTCTTTTGCTAAATCAAACATTCTATCTCTACTTGCATTTCCACTTGCACAAGACACTGTGGAACTAATCTCTGGGCACTGTAATATATTGGAAGAAAAGCGCTAGATGTTACCCAAGATCTTGTGGAAGTGGAACTGCGTTACGACCGTTTTATGTTTCCGCTTGTGCATCACTGGATCCAAGCCACTATGCAAAAGTATAATTATATACCACCACAGTTCCACATTTTCTTGAAAAAGCTCCTACCTACCAGAACTATACACTGTAGAGTTTCCTGCGAAGAAAAGGGTTCCTGGTTCCCACCACTGGTTTTCCTTTCTATAAAGCCTTCCTTTCCATGCTGAGACTCTCCCTGGACAACAACAATAATTACTGACTCTGATTCTTGTTCTGTGAATTCCAGGTTTTGGCTCTCACTTGACTGGCTGCCTACCACTCAGGTCTGATACTGCTCAGGTACAGACAAATATGGGGATGCAGCTGATCAAGCTACTCAGGGCTGGGCAGGATGGGTAATGGAATGGACAGTGCAATGTGCAGTCTTTCATATTTTACCCTGAAACACCTGCTTAGGATAGGATCCAGTTTCAGATCCATTTGTAGGTCTGTTATGATAGAAATATTAGGGCTTATCCAGACAATCAATACACTTAATTTGCCATTTGCACAGTGCTTTCACAGACTGAATCTTAAGGGTAGCACAAGACTTCTAGAAATCAGCCAGGGTACACACATGTGACTGTGTATGTGCTTGTGGCACAGGTGGGGTAATAGTCTTGCTGCAGAAATAGTCTTGCTGCTCCTGTTAATTCGCTGTTGTCTCTTTGAAAAAGCCATAAGGTTGTACATTCCAACGCAAGTGTGCAAAAGCACACAACTACTGGAGGAAGCTGAGGGTAACGCTGCTCATGGAGAGTGGCTGAATATGCTCATGCATGAGTACTAATCCAGCAAAGAAGTTCACAAAACAGCACAAAGTTTCACAACAGTGTTTGTGGAAGGTTGTGTCATCACACAGAAAGTGCCAGTGACAGATGAACAATCATCTTCCACATCAAAATTTGCAAAGATAGAACTGGCTGAAGAAGAGACTGGATTTATACCCCACCCTTCACTATCCAAAGGAGTCTCAGAGCGGCTTCCAAACTCCTTTCCCTTCCCCTCCCCACAACAGACACCCAGTGAGGTAGGTAGGGCTGAGAGAGCTCTGACAGAAACTGCTGTTTTTCAAGAACAGCTGTGCCAGAACTATGGCTTGCCCAAGGTCATCCAGCAGGTGCAAGTGGAGAAGTGGGGAATCAAACCCGGTTCTCCTAGATTAGAGTCCGCGCACTTGATCACTACACCAAACTGCTGCAGGCATGGGGGTGGAATGCAGGAGACTTCGGTGTTGGGAAAGCAATTTCTGTGCAACTGATGTTCTGCAGCTGGATCCTCTGTAACAAATGAGTCACAACCAATGCTCCCTCTAAGCTGTGGGGTCTCGTGAGCAAATATTCTACTTTGTGAGCTACTGACATTAAAGTTGTGAGCAAGCAATGTGGCTACTGCATAAATTAGTTCTCTCTGGAGCTATCTTTCCTGAGCTAAGATAAAAATGTGTGCATCAGAGGCTAAAAAACTGTGAGCTAGCTCACACTAACTCAGCTTAGAGGGAACACTGGTCACAACTGCACTTTACAGGAGAAAAGAGGTCACCTGGAAAGACATGTTCACTTGACTGCTGGGTTCAGACAAAACAGCAAGCCATGGTTGGCAGCTACATAAACAAGCTTTCAGGATCATCAGGTTTGGATGCTACCCTTCCTTTAACTGTTTAGCCAGGTTATTCCAATTAGATATTTCCACATTCAGGGTAAAAAAAAAATGCTGTTATATCTGATCTAGCAAACTATGGTTTGTGCTTACTATAAACAGCAGGATTCAAGACAATGGTTTATTCCCAGTTTGGATTCCAGGACTGCCGGTGAGCCACAGTCTGCCTTTTCAGCCCTAATCGCCAACTACACTTTATATCTGAACCTTGACACAGCATGAGCATTTAAGCTGTTTAACAAATTTGTTCTTTATTCAGAATGAATCACAGCTTTTAAAAAAACCTAGAAATTTGACTGTGAAATTCAGTGTCACTGCTATATATACACACATGAACAATCACACATGAAAGGGACTTTTGTTAAAGGAAAACTGCATTCATCTAGCTAATCTTTTCCAGAAATATTATAAATTGCGCAAAATGGCTGACATTAACACACCAAGAGACTCTAAGATATCCTTTATATCTGTAATCAGGCAATCAAGCTTGTAGTTCTCTCGGTGGGTAGGAGCATCGGTTTCTCCGTAACCTCTCAAATCCAGCGCCACAACTCTGTATTCACTTTTAAATTCCCGCATTTGATGACGCCAGGAATACCTAGTAAATAGGAAATGGGTTTTAGTTCATGAGTTCATGACTTAAGATTTATAAAGTGCTTTTCGTTCCAAAGGAAGCCCAAATGCAGTTCACACTGTAAAAGCAAAATAACATCACAAAAACATTATAACGTGGCACCATTAAACACTCCACATATGATCAGCTAACACAAATCAAAGCATGGACCATAAATACCTGCCTGAATAAAAGCATTGTTAGGTCTAATTTATCACAGTAGGAAGAAAAATGAATAAGCAAACTATTTGGGAAAGTGACCGCCTCCACTAGTGGGAGGGGACAGAGGTACAGTTTGCTGAGGATTCAGCTTAGCAATTCTGAACTTGTGGGACTTGGACACATGCAACGCAGCTGCATGTTGGCTGAAGAGGAAACATTCGGAGGCAGCAGAGAACCTGATGGAGGGTTAATGAACTAGCTACTTGCTCTGGGAGTACTAATTTGCTTTCAGTATATTTATTGCTTGCTTATTTGTTAATAACACTAACATTACAAAGACACCCTAAATCTCCAGTGCTTTGCCATCCAAAGGAAATTAAACCATGTTACATTGCCAGTGGAACTTCTCACCCTTCAGGGACGTGCACAGCAATATGCAAACTAAAGACACTTCCAGATGGCATACTAAGGACAGCTCCACATAGCTGAGAAAGCACTAGACAGGAAGTGTTTGGAGGCAGGGAAGATGCCTTAGGGAAGAGGGGGGGGGGTAGCACCACAGCTGTTGTGTTGTTCATGCTGACCCTGCTGGCCCATTTGGACTTGATTCCTGCAATGAGTGCAGGAATCAATACACTGATCAACAACTTCCAAATGTCGACTGGATCTTCTGAGCAGAAGCTACACTACAACAACACCGTGTACAGAGCTTATGTGCTCAGAAGGCCAGATCAAAGTGTGAAGATCAGTCTGAGACCAGCAACCATGATCCCGCTTCCTCCCCCTCACACACACTAATTGTATACAAATTTGTTGCCTGAACAGGGTTTCTTTCTAGCTCTCTCATACTGTACCCCTTGCTTCTTCTAAAGACCTTGAGATGACATCCTTAGGACTAACCCATTTTATTATCCCAACCATCTTGTGACGTAGGCTATGCTAAGAGATGGTGTTTAGCAAAGCAATCTGGTGAACTTCATGACTAAATGAGTATTTAAACCTGCATTTTCCCTGTCCAAAGCTTTGCTTAGGGCCCTGACCTGGATAGCCCAGGCAAGCCCGATCTCATCAGATCTCAGAAACTAAGCAGGGCTAACCCTGGCAAGTACTTGGAAGGGAGACCTCCAGGGAATACCAGGGCTGGGACGCAGAGGCAGGCAATCAAGCAACCTCTCTGAAAAGTCCATACCCGACTAGGGGTTGCCAGAAGTCACCATGACTTCCAGGCATGCAAGCACACGCACACACACACACAAACCCCACAAAGCTTTGTTTAGGACTGCACTGTATTCAGTACTGCTGGCACAGTTTCTTTTACGCTAGAGAAAATCTGGGCCATAACGAAATGGGGATCTATAGAAGCTAGAAGCATCCATTTTAAAGATGGACATCTCCTGAACCACTGCCACCCCTTCTTTTCTAAATTGTCCTCATGAAACCTGTGCAAGTGTACACTGGAATACAGTTAGCATCTCTATGAATGGCTTAAGGTAATCTTGGGTACCTTTAAGTTGGGAACTGGATGGCTCTGCAATGTAAAAACAAAGCCTTCTTTCTCATCTTTCTTCCTTTCTCTTTTTAAGCCTAACAATCACCTAGCACATGGGTGTCAAACTCATTTGTTATGAGGGCCGGATCGGAAATAAATGAGACCTTGTTGGGCCATGTGTGTCATAAAATGTAATGCCAAGTAGTGGAGATATAAACTTTATAAAGGACACAAACAAACACAATTAAATAGGTTTTTTTACTTGAAATAAAAACATGCTTAAAACATTAGCACTCTTGCAATATTTTGTTTATTTAACAGCCTCTGAGAACTGACACCTTTTGCTCTGAATTACTGCATCAAAATGTTTGTGCTGTAGCAATCCTGAGTATGCTGTTCAGGTGTGTGTATCTGTAAGCTGCAAACCTACTTTTGATTTATCGACGTTCATTACAGAAATCTCACGGTCCGTGCTCTGAGCCTAGGACCCAGGGGAAAACATGAAATGGCTGGGCATTGCGAGCTTTTGTACATAAATGGCTTCATGTGCTGGTCAAGAACATGTGAAGGCATCATGACACAGAGTGAGGACTATGTGTTTGTCCACAAAAACTATAGTCATCCCAGAAAAATAACTGCAACTTCTATGAGGTAGTGCAAGAATAGAGAGACAGCCATGTATAGTGGTCATTATCAGCCTGCTATCTGGGAAGTCTAGATTCAAAATCCCCAGTCTACAAAGGAAATGTGCTGGGTGAACTTGGTCGGACACACACTCTCAGCCTAATCCACCTCACTAGCTATTCCTCATCTAAATAGATCACATTGCTGTCCTACTGAGAAAGACTGGATCATGAGGGCATGAATACAATCATAAAGGGGAAGCAAACGCAGTTGCACCCAGGAGAGCCACAGCATGATGAGCCCAAACACACACACACAGCATAAGAAACCCAACAACATATACACACACTGTAGCAAAGCACATAAACGCTCATACCTTTAATAAAACTTTATTGGTCTTAAGGATGCTTTGCATTCCTCCCATGTGACTGAGGCAGCTGAGCAAAGAGGAGGAAGGGGAGGAGCCTCAGACAATGGAAGGGAAGAAAGGCTTGCCTTTGTCTCCTGTGTGATTGGTGGAGCCTGTCCAGAAAGCAAGCTCTGGCTCGTTCCCTCCCTCCCCCTGAAAGGGGGAGGAGCCTCAACCAATGCATAGAACAGAGGCTTGCCTATCTCTCTGTCCTGTGCGACTGAGAGAGTCTGGCAAAGCAAGCTGCTATGACACAGTAGCAGAACTGGAGAAGGAAGCAGGAAAGAGCCAGTTGCTCAAGGGCCAGATAAAAGCCCTGCGGAGGCCCAATCCAGCCTGCAGGCTGCATGTTTGACACCCCTGACCTAGAAAGACCAGAAAAAAACAGGCTTCACCAATAATCTGACTGATAAAATTTGGTTCATACTAAAGAGGGAGATAAACAGGATATTGTGGTCCTTCTGGACATCAAAAAGATGTAAAAATTTGTGTTGAAATCTTTAATTTTAAAAAATGTTAAAATTATGTATAATGACTTCAGTACTACTACTGAAGTCACTTTATATTTATATGAAGTCATGCTATACTTATTAATGTGCCCTTATTCAGTCAGGTCAGTGACTCCAAGGACAATCTAAGAAGCCCAACTGTCCATCCGTTTCCATTGTCAACAAGCAACACTTACAAGCCCAGGGAGAATGGCTTTGAATAATGGCTCTGAATAACTTAAATAATATTTTAAGCAAACTTGAGGGTTTTTTTTAAAGGTTTGTAGAATGAATTTTCCAATAAAATTAGTTTTTCAGGGAGCAAGCCTAAGCTGCTCAACTCAGAAATAAACTCCATGCTAGTCAATGGGGTTTAATCCCAAGAAAGTGTTCTTAGGCCTAGAGTCTCATATACCCATTTTCCTTGTTGTATTGATCAGGTGTTCCCTTGCTGCCCTACCTTGGTGAGTCAAGTTTTCAGAGGCTCATTATTATTATTTTCCTGTTGTTCCAAAATATTCCAGTTCCCATGATACATAATTGGAATCATTTATTTCAGTTTTGGCTCCACTTTCACAGAACCTTTATTGTTTTTGGTGGATTTAAGCAACCACCACATTTTTGCAAATATTTTTGTGGTGGAAAGTGCCATCAAGTCACA